AGCAGTCATGCGGCCGGGGCAGGACCAGCAGGGGCTCTGTGGGAGCTGCCAGGGGGACACGGGAAGGGAGCAGGGACAGCCCTGGGTACTGTGAGACCACAGGGGATGGGGTCCTGTGAGGACGCTGGCCTTGGTGGACACCGGGCAGTAAAGCGTGCTGGGGTGTGCAAGCCCAGGGTGCTGGCGGAAGGCTGAGGGGACAACAAACTGTGGCCAAAAGAGGCCTCCAAAGAGGGGAAAGGTGAGGAAGGAGAATGCATTCTATGTAGCTTATCTGAATAAACAGAAAAGGGGAAAAAGTTAACGCATGAAAACTTGCAGGGGCAAGTCTGTTTGCTTCATGAGACCCCAGCTTTCTCATTTGTTTTGCTCCTTTGGTAGCTAAAATTAGACCCAACTCTACAAAACAGTTAGAGGAGGACAGAAACCCTCAACACTTGGGGAGCAGACAGCAGCAGCACCAGGATCAAAAGACCAACGGTGGAGGAGAGCACAGGGAACAGCCAGCAGGGAATGGGCAGGGAGAGCCCCGAGCTGCAGAGACAGCATTGAAAATGCCCCAGCATGGGCTCCGGTAGCCCTGAGCGAAAATAAGCCTCCAAACTGCGTCACATGTTCCTCCTCTAGATATACCAAGTGAAAATTGTGATTTACATAGCTGGGAGACACCATGCAAAGTGGAAGAGAGGGGAAAAGGAGTGACCACAGGGTGGTTTTCTTTTATTTTGTGGTTCATTTCTCAAAAGCTGCTGCTTCCCCTTTTCTCTTCTATTTTTTCCTCCTTAAAGGAGGGAAACTTTAAAAGAAAGTGCAAAGGGCAATTAAAAATCCAAAGTAGCGTACTGTATAAAACAAGCACATGGGAGAACTCTTAATGGCAAAGCATCAAATGTCCGTGTCCTAAAACACTGTGGGTGTTTTTTTCCCCACGCCGCGCTTTGTTAGCACGTCCCTCACACGCACGCCCCACTGCTGCAGCGAGCTCGGTGGCAGGGACAGGAAGTCAGGAGCTAATGGGGAAAGGGGGAATACCAACCTGTAATTCATTTTCATGACTTCTGGAATGTTATAATTGAATGATACTAACGTTGTGTGCTAATGGATGGTTGGGCACTGGCGTTGGAGAGGCCCTTCCAGTCGCAAACACTGCAAAGACCCCCCCATGTTCCGCAGACACATACCCAGGGCCATTTGTCCCCAGCACTCAGGCTATGGGTCCGCAGTCCCCTATTTCCCAAGTGCTTTCTTGATCAGCATAACTCGTAGCTGCGTACAAAAATAAGATACCTTCAGTTACATCAAAAGCAGACACACACACACAGGGGAAAAAAAAAAAAAAAAAAAAAAAAAATCAGGCTTTTAGGTCTGCAGGCTCCTAAAGAGAAGACAGAATCTGCTCTGTTTGCCCCAGACAATTCAGTCAAGATTCCCCAGGGCCTCACAGTTAGGTTAATGAGAAACTCCCCAGCAACCCCCATGTAAAATGCTTTCATAGGTCTTTAAAATGCCTTAAATTCTCTATATATTTAGTAAGACTTTTTCCTTCTTTAAAATGTCCCTTGCTGCTCCTCAAGATAATACTCTCATGATGTATTACAACAGCAATGCAGCATTGTCTGGCTGGACCTTTGCTTTGCAGATATTGAATCTTATTTTCCTCTTGGCTTCGAAGCAGCTGAAAACCCTTTTGCAAAGCAGAGGTGGGCGCTTGCCTGGCCCCCCGGCCCAGCCCACCCTCTCTGACGCTTTCGGAGCAAAATGGACAGGCTTCAAGGGCTGCATGTGCTGTCAAGAGGGAAAAGTAGGGGGAAGGAGAACTCACCTGTGCTCTTCCTCTAGGATACAAAACCTCTGCCTCTTACACAGCAAAACACTACTGACTTGCTATTTAACAGCAAGCTAAGTTTAAGATTAAGACAGGAAAGGAAAAGCTTTTTTTTTCCTTAATGTAAAAGGAAGAAAAATGTTTACAAGACCTGAAGAGGAAGGAAGTTCGCTATATGCCCATTGTTAAACAGGGCTGGTGGACACCCAGATTATTTACGCTGGTGCAAGGGCAGCCTTTGCCTCCTTATACATTTTCCTGATCCTCTAGGTTAGTATGTACAGCCTTTAAGTTGCGGTCATTAAAAACAAAAAAATCATAGAACTATTTCTAGTTATATGTAAAGTACTTGAGTAAATTCCTCGGTGCAACTATGCCAAGGGTTGGATTCCCGCAAAGCATTTCACCTTTGCAGGTTTTACCAGGAATGAGCAGTTAAGCCAGAGCAGACAGCAACTTGTACACGTACTCTACCATCAGAGAAAGGATGGTGCCCTGTGCCAAGCCATCACCAAACAGACCCATCCGAGCACTGGATTTCTGTTGCCAACGTGTCCACCGCCAAATTTCCATGAGCTGCACTAAGCAGCTTCTGCGAGCAGCCCCTTGCCCAGTGCCATGGTCCGGTCAGGGATGCACAAACCGTGCGCCTTCAGTACACTTCAGTAGCAGAGAAGCCCACCATGAGACACAGAGCTTGGCCCCCAGCCTTTGACAGGTCTTACCCTGCACCTACAAGTGGTTACGCCTGACCTGGAGACAGACGGCTGTTGCAGCTACCTTGACAAGCCCCATCACTGCAGAATCAACTCGTACTCATAAAAAAAAAATTCCAGGATAGCTTCTATTGGTATGATGAATAAAATAAGATATAGCAGCAAAAGCACCTTCTCTCCCCACAACTGCACCTATATAAATATTTTGCTAGTATTAAAAAAAAAAAAAAAATGAAAAAGTTATATTCGACCTGCTCTTGCTGTCCCTGCGTACCACAGCACCCTGGGACCACCACTCCCCTGGCCCACAGCAGCTGCGCAGAGTGCCGACAGAATTTTTCAGAACTCGCTTTGTATGTGTTTGGGCATACACACACACACAGAGATGTACAAACACATACAGGAGAAGAAGGGAGAGAAATATGTTAATTTGAAACATCTGGCAAATGTTTCAGAGTTAACAAGTCCCAGGTTTGGCTCCCCTCCCACCCTTTCTTTCTGTTGGGATGTCAAGGAAGGGGAGGCAATTTTGTCATTTTGGGCCAGGGGAGGAAGGGGCATGAAACAAGAAGTTGAAGCGTGTTTTTTCACCCTTTATTGAACTTCAACATCACACTACTGGAGCTAATGCAAACAGGAAGATCATAAAAGAACATAATGAAAGTCTCACACACTGGGACTGAGGGACTGGTTTCAGTTACTGAATATAGCTTTGGAGGCACACCACACAACAGCCAGTGACTCCACGCGGCCGCACCACCATGTACGAGGGCTTTTTAAGCCTGTTTTATGTAGTTCCTCAGTCATATTCCAGCCTGCAACCTCTGTCCTATGCACTGCGCTCTGTCTTGATAGGATACTGTATTGCATCTTTACACACATGCAAGATTGACATCTGTAGCTACTTAAGTATTAAGAGGAAAATCCCCCAATTAGCACACATTTTCCTTAAGCTGCCATAAATCACGCATACAATACATTTTATCCCACATCCGACGTCTTGAATGAGAGCTGTAATTATGGGAGTAAATGAAGAAAAATGGAGGAGACTACTAATTTGGGAAAAGCCTTTCACAGGCTGTCTTTTACTTACGGCGTAGTCACCAATACCATCCAGCAATCCAAAATTAACATCCACTCTGCATAGACATTATTTCTGTTTTGAACCTCAGCCTGTGTTAAATTTAATACAATTGAAGACTTGTGATAGATAGCACCGGTAACTCCACTCCACTGCTGTTTGAGACGAAGGTCAAGCAAGAGAGCCGGCGAGCGCTCTTTTCATGCGCCGTTACCTCCAGGCACAAAGGGGCCTTCGACATCGCAGCTGGGGGTTTGCAGCAGCAGCAGCAATATTTGCTATCAAAGACTAGTGAAAACACAAACTGTTCAAAACAGCTGTAGCGCCCAGAGAAGATGCACCCAGCACAACCAAGAGTGCAGCTGGTACAAAGTGAAATGCCACAAAGTGCCACACAAAGGCAGTTTATGCCTTCAAGACCAGCTAGATGCTGACTTCAGTAAGAAAAGTCTCCTGTGAGCCAGTCTCCCCGTGACTCTTATAAAACCCATGCTAACCAGGAATGCAGCACTATTGTTAACTTTCATATTACTGCTCAGTTTCTGAGCTGTTTTCACATTGCTGCTGAGCTTCTGAGAGAATACCATTGTGCAGTCCAGTGCAAAGAGAGCACAGAAATTGACTTACTGGCTTCAACAAAAAAATATTCTGAGAATTTCATAAGTGTTAAAGACATAACAGACAGTAAAATATCTTTACACAGGGCACAAACAGTAACTGAGATGTGGCTAGTTACTTTAAATGGAAAGTAATCTGACATTTACCCTGACGTTTGTATTATCAATACATATTACACAACTACAGACAAACTTCCTTTATCCTGCTGAGTTTCTTTAGCCTCTTTTTATTCAGATTATCAACGTAACACAGATGAACAAGCCCCAGACACATGTTTAAGAGTTATGACTATGAAGCAGACCAAAAGCTGGTTCAAATGTTAAGTCTTTCTACCATGGCGATGTACCACTTTTATTCTCCAGCCCTGACAGTACTTTCCAATTTCCTCTGAGAGGAGAAATACACACATTCCAGTTGAGACCGAGTTTTAAAATTCCTATTAAAGCAGCTTTTATGTAATTAGATTGGAATGAATGTGCAACAGTGCCCATTGCAGAAAACTTCAAAGTGGTTATACTGGAGAAATCACAACCCGTTTCAGTATGCCCACAAGAAGAAAGAATGGCTCTCCGGAGGATAAGAGTATATTAGTCTCTGTATGTAATAGATTTTATTGACCATATGGAACTGATATAAAAATTGTGTTGCAGTGGGTAGTCTTGGATTTGAGACAGGAATGTGACATACAAAATACAGTTCCTGTAAAAAGCCTGGCAGCCTTCTGGCAGTTTTTGCAATCAGAAGAACCTAAAATATTTACCTGATTGAGTCACTGATGAGTCCCAGGTCAAAGCAAAATCTGAAGATTCACCCTCTTCAACTGAAAAAGAACAAAAATAAGTTGTGATTACTAAAACAAACCAACTGGAAAGCAAAGCCACCAGAAAACTAGGTCCACCATGACATTAAGTATTAAACCAGACTTCTGCACTGGTGAAAAAGAACTTACTGCTTTCTATAAAATAATTCATACGGTAGAAATTTAGTAAAGAGATTTCCCCTACGTTTTAACCTAACTATGGGATTTCTGTTTGCAGTTTCTTCCTGAACATGTAACAGTAAGTTCACGTGAAATTTTAATAGAGGTTCAAATATCACTAGCCACTAAGTATTCATAGTTGAAATTTCATACATTCGCAACAACTTACAAGTGCAAAATTACCATAGTAAACCTAGAGGTCGTTTTTGAAACGTATGCTATAACAGATCGTAGTAAAGAACCATCCTATGAAAGCAAAATTTCCTGACTTATGTCATCTTAACATACTAACATACTAGCCGTGTTCAGAACCAAGTGATATCTTAAGTTTTTTCAGAGTTCAGAATTAAAAAATACTATTATAATGTGCAACCATGTTCTGTAACTGCATTTAAGACTTGCTGATGTGAAAGCTGTCAGAGCCAGGTGCTCAGCACTCGCAAGTGACATATCTATAACTTTCTGCCTGTTAAGAATTATAAAATGTCACCTGATTCTTACATTCTTAAAAATAACTAAGAGCTCAACTGACAACAAGCAGGGTAAAGAAGACCCCGATCCTGCTGTTACTGAAATCAGTGGCAGTTTTACTGCTGTCAGACTGGGCATTTGAAAGTGGTAACGGCAGAAATGTGTCTTTTTAATCGCAAAAGTTGATCATCTTCACCTGCCTACTCTGTCACTGTGACACCAAACAAATTTAAATCATGGGTCTTTATTTCATGATAAAAAGTATTTACTCCTTGCAATCTCTAACCCTTTAAACTAAATTATGTTGGATTCAAATACAAATTCTACATAATTCTGCAACTGAAATCCAAAGCATATTGCAAAGCCACAAGCACAGCCCCTATTGACCAGATGGGACCTATATGCCCAAGCCTGGGAAACTGTTCCAGTGATTACTTACATTGAGTATTTACATTTTCATCATAAGATTCTTGATTTTATGCTTTCCTCCCCCCTTTTTTTTTCTTTTAAATCCACTAAGGAATTCTGGCATCCTGTAAGTTTATTTATCAGGTTGATGTCAGTGGTGACATCATGTGGCACTAGGAACAGAGAAGATAATTTACATAGGCAGTGCCTTGCCGAATTTTGATTTTATGTTCAGACCATAAACAAATGCATGCTCCACAGAAGGGCACAGCTCCGGGCCTGTTAGTCTGCAAGTTTACTAACAGAGGTGCACGGGAACTTGGCCACTTCTTTTGAAAAATCATACTTCAGTCAGTTATACTTTTTCCCAAAAGTCTATGTTAGCATAAAGGCCATGTCATATAGTATTACATTCCAGAATGATAGAGAAAAACAATATACAAAGCTACGAGCTTACTGAAGCCATTATCGCTACTATTCCCTGTTGGTGGCAAGGCAGGCTTGGCTCACATATGCTCTCTCCTAGGGGCTCACCTACCATTTTGTGTTCTGTAAACCACCATCTTGTTCCCATTTTGACCCATTTTTTAATAGAAAAACTCTGGACATAGTTATCCTAAATACGATTTCACTCTTACACAAATATATCTCTTGTTTTAAGATTAAAATCTACACAAATTTGAGAGGCTTCTGCTCCAAAACTAAATAAGCTAAATTAACAATTCATGTACCTTACTCAAAACAGACAAGTGGAATGTTTTAATTTTACTTCATCCTTAACTGCTTTTCAGTTGTCTTGCTTGGACAATTTTTTATATTACTACTTTTATGCTGAGATTTTCTTATTTATTTTTTACTTTGGCAAGAGAGAGGAAAAAAAAAAAAATCAGTCTGCTAAAAATACATAAAGGCAATAAATTCAGTCCTAGTCAAGTATAAGTATAAGGGATCGGCACTGGTTATTGACAATTTTAGCAACACACTGCCTTTCATGTTGGTTAAACACCGGAGACTGCTCTAGTCCTTGAGCTGCTGTAGGGCAGCTGGCTCCAGCACATAACAAAACCACGGTTTTTGGAATCCCTTAAATGAGGGCAAAGGTTTGAGTCAGCCTCTGTTGGCATTAATTTGCTTTGCTCCCTAATGACTGAAAAGGGGACAGAAAACATATATATGAAGACGACAGCACTTAAATTCACTCTATATTATTGCAGTCATGGTTTCAGGTTCTCCTCCTCTATTTGCACAGACCCACCACGTAGCTGACGGTGCTGCACCTCCGCGCAGGGAGGAGGCCGGTGGGATGGAGCCTTTTGAGCTCAGACCCAGACACAGCTCCCTGCAGCTGCTGCTCACACCACTATTCCCCCTTTTTCTTTTCTAATTTTTTTAAGCAAACATCATCTTTCACAGGATCAACCATAAGAAAAAGTAACAGCTGAGGCTACTGCAAGAGGTATTGCTGTATTGGGCTGATGTTTCTCTTGGGCAGCAGGACAGCACGCCAGTTTGTCCCCTCGGACAGGGAGCACGGGGCGGGGGCACTGCCAGAAGGGAGCCGGGACCCCCTGTTGCTTGCTGCAGTGCTGGTTGGGGGGACCCAAACCTGTCCAGGCAGGACACGAGCACTGGGCAAGGCCAGGCTGGCACTACTCAGGACGTATTAGGCGGTTTTAGGGAGCCGCACAGTCACAGCGATGGCCAGTTGGGAGCCCTGACCCGCACACTTGATCCTCGCCTGCCTGCCCATCCACCCACTAAGCTAGGCAGCAGGCACAGAGAAACAAGGGGCAAAAGCATGCCACATCCCCCCCAAAAAAAGGTTGGGTCTGTACACTAGTGTAATTAAGAAGCCCCAGAGGTGTGGAAGGGAAGGGCGTCTGTGAGGCTGAAGCAAAAAAATAGGTGATCAGGCTTTGTCACAGGCACCAAGCATAATCGTAGGGAGACACTTAACTCCACCGTGTGTCTGCTCCCCCTCCATAATGGGCATAAAACCAAGAGCTGAGAGGCTCCTCCGTGGCCGCCTTAATCTTCTGGATATAAATTGTTATTTAAGGAGCTGGCATTTGAAGTGGTGTCACTGCTGGCTTTACCTCAGCCTCGGCAATGAGCAGAAGCCACTGAATTCAGAAGGAAAGATAATGGGTTTCTTACTCCCAAACTCAACTTCAACACCCAAGCAGTTGCAGCTACAATTTGCCCTCAGTTGCACGTGGCCGTTGCTGGACTCACAGGGAAGCAGGGGGAGCTTTCCTGGGCTGGTCAGAGATGTGGGGACCCAATGCTGTGCACGGAGGGGAGAGGAGCCTCAGAGACCCCCATCTGGGGACAGACCGCCTGGGGGCTGCCTTATGGCTTGGCCAACACTCTCCAGGAGGGCAGAGCGGGCCCAGAACAGATTTGGCTGCTGTGGCTGTGAAGGGATTTCCAGTTCTCGCTACAGAGAATCGAGTGAAAAAAAAAACCTTAGTCCATAATATTATCCAGAGAGTAATTCACTTAGGTTGATTTTTCAGTTAAAGTTTCAGTTTCTTAACATTTTTCTTGTCATTCCTTGAAACCTAGGTTGCCTCAGGTGACCAGCATGCATTAAGGTTCACTTTGTGGATGCTATTATTTAAGTAGTGGTAACAGACAAAAAAAGCAGGCAAAGAGGTACAAATATTCAACACAATCACTTCCAAAATACATTGCACAGTAAAATAATTCCTGTTTCATTAGCAGGAAAATATGTTTTCTGAGATATGCCAGCCACAATCATAACTACTGAAGTCAAGGACTAGACACTTCCATCTGTGCTAGTTAATCACTCTGAATGTGTGGACACACAAGTCCACGTCACTGACCTTCAGCATGGGCAGGAGCCACCCACATACCTGAAACACCCTGCAGCTCTGCAATACCACTGGAAACAGCAGCACAGTTTAAGACAGAGAGCTGAGATTTTTATAAAGCAACTACAGATCTTGTACCAGCTCTAACTACTTTACGGGAGTTCTAGTGACATAATGGTGAAGGCTCAGCTTTTCATGAAATTTTGGAGGCATTTCATACTGGGCATTGAAACGAAGACATCCAAAATCACTGATGTTAAGCTTTGGGCAGAATGTTCACAAGTGCACTTCACACGTTTTTGCTGGATACTTCCCGTTTTCCTTCAGAAACTCACCTCATTTTCTCCCCAAATAACATTGCGTGCCTGCACATTAAGCCATGGTTGCAAACACAGACGTTGCTATGTAATTACACTCTTACTCTTGTCTCTATGTGCTCTCTCCATCCAAACGATCATTTTTAAATGCTTTGGAAAAGTATATTTTTACTCCTTCAGTAATACAGAGACAATACAGCAAGAGGACAGAAGTTCGGTCCCACTGTGCTCCATGTGTCGTCAACAGAACGGCACCCGAGGCGCAACACACTGCACCCACGGAGAGCGTACGCCTGTCTCCCACTCCCAAATTCTGATTAGAAAAAAAGATGGGCAAGAAACAGTTTCAAAGTCAAGTACTAAACCTTGATATCAACACTCACAGCACTCTCTTTCTATTTTTAAAGCATTAACTTTTTTTTTTCCTTCTCTTTTGGAAACGGTCCATAGCATTTGCCAGCACACAGAGATAAAATACTGGAAGTAAAACACAGAGTCACTCTTTTATCTGCATCCTTCAGGTTGATGATTATGAGATAGTTATAGGAAACTCACCCAGAAGTGTGTATGCTACAACAGCCGTGCCTTGGGTGAAATCTGGGGGCATCTATGAAGCTGAAGCCCTTCAGGAAGGCTGGGTTTGACATGAAAATAGCCTTGGTCTGGCAGCATAGAAACTCTTCTTGTTAGTCAGCTCTAAAGACTGGTAACTTTGTGCCTTGCCCACTCGTGGCCTGGTGCAGGAGGACACATAGCTGCTTCCACTCCCTGTTCTGCCCCTGCACAGGACTCACTGCTGTCATGCCTGGAGAAGATCTCTGTTCTGCCCCACCTGATT